GCACAGTGCAGCGTAACACACACACACACACCTGAAACTACAGAAACACAACCCAGAGATCCGTTAGGACCTCTACTTCAAGATTTGAGGGGGAAGATCCCTCAAGAGTACACTCAGCGAAGCTGCGGGTAGTGACTCCCAACTCCGGCTTTTACAACACTTCCACTAGCTTGCTGCTAGCGTAGGAAACCCGGTTTGGACTGCCTACTTCGGATCGAAGTCACTCATACGCGGTGAACAACACTCTCAACTCACAAAACACGTAGAGAACACAGGTCCGCACTGAAGGACTCACTGAGAAACTATCCAGTAACACAATAACAGTCTATTGAAGAGTTTGAATTCTTAGGCACTTGTCATTCCCAGAAATACTACAGGGGTTACCCTGAAGGCATCTGCTGCAGCGTAACCTGAATTTACAACCAAGGCTTACACGAAGTAGCAAAACTTCACTTTGGCATTAAGGGGAAAAATCCCGAAGGAGTACAATCAGAAACAAACACTCGAAGGTGTAGGGGCGAAACTATTCAAGTATCTAACCATTCACTGGCTCTGAGCATCGGCAGTCACCCGCAGGTGCAGATCCGAACTACTCAAGTCTCTAACCAATGTACTAGCTCTGCACATTCGGCCGAAGGCCTTCAGCTACAAAATGCGGAACGCCAAGTTGTAGCTCCTCGTGCGTGGTGACAGAACTAAGGGCACGAACACGCAGAGAAAATGAGTTCCTGATCTGTACTTCTGAAATTGGGAAAGAACCCAAGGCAAAACGCCTTGAACTATTTTATACCTTCTAAGTCCTAACTAACACTACACTGCACTACGCCATGGTGCGAGCCGCAACAGATCCTACACCTGAGGAGTCGGCGGCTGCCTTCCCCTCTAACTTACAACCTAAATCTAACCCTAACCCTAAATCTGAATCCTAAGCCTACTGTACAGAGCCGCCAGCGCCTTTCCATCCAAGATCTGAGGCTGAAAATTTGCAAGCATGCGTGGCCGGCCGAGATCAACGGCCCCACAAAATTTCAGATCCATCCAACCGTCCATCGCAAAGATATGGGCCCCGCAAGATCTCTGAACCTAGGCCAAAATTCCTTCTCCAAAATCCGAGGACTGTGGGTCCCACGCGTCCTACACGCAAGCCGCCTACTCGCAGGCCGCCTTGGGCCGAAGGCCCCTCTAACTGTTAACGCCGAAGGCCTCACGCCTAACCATGACAGCCGCTTTCGACGCTCATAACTCATTGATGACTGATCCGTTTCAAGAGATCTTGGTCTCGTTGGAACCAACTCGTCGAGTTCTTTCCAACGAGACCCGAATCAAGTCAAACCGCTAAAAAATTGAAAAAGATATGCCGGTTTTACTGCTTCGCCGAAGGCCTGCAACCGCCGAAGGCGTCCGTCCGCGCATCGGACAAAAGTTGATCTCCCTTCCGCGTAGGCGGAATTCCCGTCGGAGGCGAACTCCTTCCGCTGAAGGCGAACGTCTACGTATCTTCCGATAGTCATAACTCCCTAAGTCCTCATCCGTTCCAAGCGTTCTTGGGCTCGTTGGAACGAGCGTGTCGAGCTCTTTCGAACGAGACCCTAAATAACGCAAACCGTTACGAATTGAAAACGTTATCACGGTTTTTCCCTTCCGCCAAAGGCGTTTGCCTGTGCACAGGCCGACTACGCGCAAGCCGCCTACTCGCAGGCGTCTGCGTCCGTCCGCGTCCGTACAAGTTCTAACCCCGAAGGCGCATTTCTAGGGCCGAAGGCGGATTTCCCGCCGACGCCGAAGCGCCTGTGCACAGGCGAACGCCTGTGCGTAGGCGAACTTCGCGCCTACGTCGAAACCCTATTTCGCCTGTGCGCAGGCGGATTTCCTTCGTCCGCGCATAGGACAAAACTTTCTTCGCATGTGCGTAGGCGGAAAGCTGAGTATCTTGCGACCTTCATAACTCCCGGAGCCCTCCTCCGTTCGTGACATTCTTGGGTTCGTTAGAATCAGCGCGTCGAGCTCTTTCAAACGAGACCCTAACCAAGTCGAGGCGTTGCGAATTGAGAAAGTTATGAGGGATTCACTCTTCCGCCGAATGCACTCTCCCGCATCGCCGAAGGCGTTGACCCGAAGGCGCATCTTCCGGCGGTTCTTCCGCCGAAGGCGTACCGCCAAAGTCGCGCCACCGCCGAAGGCCCCCCAGCAGTAACTTCCGACACTCATAACTCAGTGACCTCTCATCCGTTTCACAAGTTTTTGGGCTCGTTAGAACCAGCGCGTCGAGTTCTTTCCAACAAGACCCAAAACAACTCAAGGCGTTACGAATTGAAAAAGTTATGAGTGATCTACCGCCGAAGTTGCTCGAAGCGGATACTGCAGCATGAACCGCCCGTTGCGTCCCAAGCGTCCCACTGTGGCCTAAGCCCAAGACCCCTTGACTGTCCTCGATCCTCTTTTTACTCTGGTTTCGCGTACCGATTACTATGTGCAGCTGCTGCCGCGGTACTTACTATTCAAAAATGTTTTAGTTCTGACAAAAAACAAAAAGTGGGTTTTCACAATTGCTAAGGATTCTTTGTATGGTTTGAATCATGTAAAGTATATTGATATATATAATTATTTCATTGATATAATCTATCTTGTGATCTTTAGAATCAACGTGTTGATACAAAAAAATCATTTTTTAAAAACACTTTTTATCATCTGAAATTTTTAGGGAATTCACAACCTATATATGCATTATAGGATATTCAAATGGATCAAAGAATTCTTGATTCGTGCTAAATATCTCAGAGATGCGCTGCTATTGCACATAAACAGACTTACTCTACTTGTAATACTGATGTGGCATTTGAGATTTCTCTTGTCATATTGCTCATCAATCTAATTTTTCTTTTTACCCAGTAATAAGTTTACATTTTTATTATGCTTGACAAACTTGGGTTCGAGTATCGTGATAATCTGTAATTATACCATTGAATTGATTTGTGACCGTAGATGTGACATAGATTTGAACTTTTTTTTAAGAGATTCAAATCTATATATACATTTTAAAATTGATCAACAAAACAAAAAATTTGAAAGTTTTGAGCTATAAAGACATTATATGCAATCGTATAATATCCTTATGTATCATTGCATACAAAGCATGTTGAGTAAAAGCGAGCTTATGAATAGTTGATCAACTTTTTACAAAGTGCATTTGCTTTTTTTTATATATATATATATGAGAAGATAGCTAAATTTTTCCTATTGATTTGACAATCATTGGACAAATAAATTATATTTGATTTGCGCTCGTAGTCGTACTGTTAGAGAACAATTTTCATGTCTGAGGCCATGCGCGTAGTCCGGGCCCGAGGGACACAGGTTCATCTCTAACCCCGATGGGGGGTTAGTGTAACGAAAATAATGCAAGACGAATACACTGTAAGGATATCAACTGCTTTTTCCCCATAAACTTCAAGATATGTAAAATCATGGACATAAATTTTGATGAATGTTTATGAGAGGTAATATTCTTTAAGAACATGTTGTACAAAATTTTGCTAACCTATACTGAAAGTTTTCATATCTTTAGCAGCGAGTGGAAAACTCATCACATTACATTATTTTTAAGGGTATGCAGACTTTATTTATTTTTTGCATTCCGTTGAATTATACAATTTGGATTTGTTTAGTTACATCAGGTAAAATATTTTACAATATGGTGCTATGAAGACTAGCCCGTGTTACTTATTTGCTTTGATGCCGATGAGTCTTGATGGGACCTTCCCCTCAAATTTGCTAAACAACGTAGCCCTCCTTCTTAGTTTAATCATCTCATTTTCGCAATGGTCGAGATTCTTCAAGAAGGAGTGCAGTGCTGCCAGAGCTTTCATCCCATAATCAGTACAGGAACAGACAGACGTGGCAAATACAGTAAATTAGAATCATGTACATTTCCACTCAGAAGATTGAGAAGAAGTCAAACTCTGACAGTCGTTATTCTCTTCCTCCTCGACATCCGCTTCTGGACGAGACCAATTAATAAAGTAACTGGCTTTGACTATGACCGACTCCGAGACTCTAGAAGCCACTAGGAGGAGCCCCGTGGACGGTAGGTACATCAAAGTCAAGCCCTCATCATCTCGAAACCAACGCGTCCAATAACAAGCGAGCGCACCTTCAGTATCATACAGCAAGAGGGTAGAATTGGGCGATAAGCTGAGTGATGGAGAGTGGAAGGCGGGCTGGAGTGAAGGAAGTCAACAAGAACTAGACGTGGTAAGAAATTCTCCGGAAGTTGCTACTCTCCGATTTGCTTCCGTTGTAAGGTCTCTGCTTGATTTGCCAGTAATCTTTGCGGTCCTACAAGATGAAAACCCACCGCAACGAGGAAAGGGGGGCTCAGGGAATATTCATAATTACTTTAAAGCTTATAGTTAAAGATCAAATTTCAGCCGGTGAAGAAATTCTTTATTGCCTCAGAATTGCATCAATCGTTAGGAAATAGGAATGTAAGATCCGAAAGTAACGCGCTTTTGCGGAATCTGCTTGATCTCAGTTAGACGTTATATTCTCCGTCTTACAGACTTGGCATCTAGAATTTTCCAGTTATTACTCTTATCCCTTCAGCAGCCGACAGAAAGCTCAGGGGATCTGAGCACACATGCCGGTCTACAAAAGAAAAGACGGACGATTTGCTTTTTAATAAGCTGACTGTTGAAGTGGGCTCCACTCCCATTGAGATGGCCACGATGAACAATATGGACCGCTTTTCTGGAATTTCGTTGAAAATGGTGTACCAGTAAGTGCTCCAGTCCTTGAGGTGAAGAATCTCGTGCCTGGTGACGTACTAGAGCGCGTTGAAATTTAAAAAGTACTCAAAAGGAAATCCTCATTGATTACGTGTCTTGATCCTCGCCGCCGACTCGCCCAACCAGGAAGGAATGGGCAAGGAAGCCCATCGGGTGCATGTGAGATTGTGAAGCCTCGAACAGTTTGCCCTGGGCTCTCGTAGTCTTGTTCTGCTCATTGACAGTCGACAGTTTTAGAGAAGTGACGCGAAGGAATGGGCCTCCAGCCTTGCCTTTCATAGCAGCACAACCACTTCCATGTGAGGGTGAGCTCGAGCCCGATCGGAGTTACTATATATCAAAGATTTGAGTTTCCGTGTAAGTTTGTCTTATTCTTTAGACTTTGAACGAGATTTTCATCTGAATCATGAGTTGTTGTTATCTTTCCACAACGCAGAGTACTTCACATCTGAGTTATCTGCACTTCCATGGTTTCCATGAAATTCTGTGTACTCAACTCATAATTTTTGCAACGAACTCTTTTGTATTTCAGATTCACCTGCAGAGTTGTAATCTTATACACTCAATTCTGTCACCAGCGCACATCGAACACATCTCTCCTCTCTCTGTTTGAGTTCGAATTTGCAAAAGGTTTGCTTTACTATGAAGTCCCCTTTTCACAAGCTCTACGATTTACTTTGGAACCATAATCCTCGTTCTCTTCATTCATTTTGATTCACATCGCTTGTTGTGACTTGCTTTGAGTTCAAGCATTTTGATTCACATTGCTTGTAGTGCCTTCAAGCAACCTCCTGCTTTCACTTTTCACAATCTTCTAGCGTTAGTGGTGATTGACTTGATCCGATTCTGTGCAGAGGATAGAGTCAAAAATCCACCCTATGCGGCCCCAAATTTACCCAGTTCACCGACCTGGGCTACTCAAGTGCTCTCCGAAATGTATGAGATAGTCGCCCATCACACGGTTCTATAATCTGACTTTCTTCAGAGCTTCTTCAAACCCAGAAGGTCTATTTAACGCACATTCCCTCTCCTTCGAGCGCCTATTATACGGTCCTTGGAAGATGGCCTGATAGACTCGTCAAAGTGAAACTTGCCAAGTGGTAACCATTTAGTAATCTTTGTGTTGTTCATCATGCAGACTGCAAGAAGACGCATGCCCAGCACGTGCATGCACACAAGTTGTGAAACTGCGACGGGAATTTCTGTTTCCTTCTGGTGAGCAGGTCTTGTGGATAGAGGAAGGGCCTCCTGTAGTCCCCGTTACATTTCGCTCGCGCATGTAAAGCAGCAAACGATTCTTCCTCTTTGAGAGTGGAGGAGAGAATGGAAAGTGCAAGTGTGTCCATCCTAATAGACGTTGCTGAACTTGCGACAGAGGGAATGGACTCCGCAGACGAGGAGCCGGAGCTTCGTTCCGCTGTTCAGGACCTTATACAACGTCTGGAGAGAATAGAGTTTCGTTCCGCTGGTCTGGAGAGACCCGAGAGATTGGAGGAGATGGTTGCACGTTGGTACTCCTCTGTGAGAGTGGAGGAGAGAGTGGAAAGTGCAGGTGCGTCCATCGTAAGAGACGTTGCTGAACTTGCGACAGGGGGAATGGACTCCGCACACGAGGAACCGGAGGGAAGCTCCCGTTACTGGTCTGCAGGTTCCTCGTTAAGGGGAATGGACTCCGCACACGAGGAACCGGAGGGAAGCTGCCGTTACTGGTCTGCAGGTTCCTCGTTTAGGGGAATGGACTCCGCACACGAGGAACAGGAGGGAAGCTCCCGTTACTGGTCTGCAGGTTCCTCGTCAGGGGGAATGGACTCCGCACACGAGGAACCGGAGGGAAGCTCCCGTTACTCCGCTGTCCAGGACATTATAGGTTGTCTGGAAGGAAAAGGCAAGCCTATAACGGAGCTTCCCTGCTTAAGCCGGCAAGAATTTCGAGACTTTTTCCCGGACCGTGCATCGATCTCGACGATCAGTGGGTGGCGAAGCAAAGTGCGCCGTGAAGTGCTGGAGTCAATCGGCAGCTGCAACACGTTTCATTATCTGGACGTAAATGATATTTTTGGTGGAGATATATCGAGGTTGGAGGCTAAGGAATGGAAGGTACTTCTGAGAGGGTTTAGCTGTAGCACCGTCCTACGAGCGATAAGAGTTGAAGGATTGAGATGGAAATCAATTGCGGAAGTGGAGAGCTTGGAAAGCTTGTGTTTACAGCTGGGAGGAATTCTGAGAACCTCTAGCGTTACAGATTTGACAATTGGCAATTGCAGATTGAGTGCCAGATGTTTCTTGAATCTCGCATCAGGACTGGGAGGAAATGACGAGTCTAAACTCAAGACTTTAGAACTACATAATGCATGGAAGGACTCGGACGCGGTGAAGCCTATTGCTGACATGATCAACAGTGCTACTCGATTAGAAACTTTGGAAATAGGGGGCTCACCGGATGATCGCATGTACGACATGGATGAGGAGGCCGCTAGAATCCTGTCGCGGGCTTTAATCCAGAGCTCGTCTCTGAAAAAATTGGTTCTAAGGGAGGTGGAGGGCGAAACATCGGCTTTCTTGCTGAAGGCATTGCATGGAGATGGCAGCAATCGAAGTATTCAATGTCTTCATCTAATTTCTGTGTCTGGACTCGGAGACTCTTTACGAGAACTTCTGACATCCAACCCATACTTGAAGGAAGTGACGTTGGCCGCCATCCACATGCGTCCCGAGGAATGGAGGCGACTGGGCCAAGCCATACGCGAGAATGCTACAGCCAGATCTATTCGCGTGTTCCAGAAGATGCATCACAAAGATCACTTGAAGGGAGTAGAAGAGCTTGCGTGTGCTGCTAGCTCCGATGTCATGTACCCCAAAGTGGAGCTGATAATCACAGTAGACCATTACGATGCATTGGTGTCAGCACTCATCTTTGTGGGTAAGGTATTGCGCGGGAATATCACATCTCTAGAATCTTTGATTCTATTTTTAAATTGTTCTTGCCCTCCAGGCAGCAACCCAAATGGAATGGGAAGTATACTACCAATGGATGAAAATCTTCGAGACACTACAGTGCTGAAGAGACTGAGATTATTTGTTCAAGAGAAAGAAACTTTGAAGGTAGTATGGAAGTGCCTGCTTGAGTGCTTGCGAGATAACACAAGTGTCACTCAATTGGATTTGTCTGACTCCGAACTCGACGACGAGGCGTTCGGAGACCTGATGGGGTTACTTCAAGTGAACTTGACTCTCAAGGAAATCAATTTCTCACGAACCTCATGGGAGACGGACGGAAAGGCAGCGCAGGTTCAAGAGGCCCTCGAGCAGAACCAGAAACGGGCTCAATTACTTCAGCAGGCAAGACCTCCCCGTATAACTTATGTTACAAACAATGTTGGTACTTTTTATAAGATGAGTGCAGGTTTGCATTCCGGGAGAATGGTTCGCTTACACATGATGTGTGAATCACTGACTGGGTTTCACCGTGTCAAAGATCAAAAAGGTTTGAAGATATGCTTGGAGAATAACTTGGAGAATAACTCATGGATTCTGAAAGCTGTTGAATTCTCATACAAAGTCATGTACTATGCTGCAAAGCATAGTACAAGCAAAGTGATTCCGGATTGGGCAGATTTAATATATGATATTGTTATACTAGATGGTCTTAGCGATCTTAATCGTAGGGCAGATCTAAAAGGTGGGGACAGTAGGGAGCTAAGCGAAGTAAGGTTGAGGATTGAACAAACTCTTGAGCCTCATCTTAAAGATAGGTATTCATTTTTGTTCAAGTTGTATAAGGTGAAATATGTGGGACTAGAATTAGGTGGCCATGCATGGGTGTGCAAGAAGTGCATGTGTGAAGGTCTTAGATCTGGCATTTTGACATGTTAGGAATTTGAAGATGTTAGAATGTCAATATGCAATTGACAAGCATATGTTTAGATCCTCATGCAATATGAACCTCTGATGATCAGGATGCAAATGTTGTAACTCCTCTTTTGTTTCATATATGTTTATAACCTGGTTTTGTCACTTTTCTCTCTCCCTAAACTCTGTTTTTTCTTCAATGACTCACATATATAAAAAGGTGAATTTTGGGAAGTAGGAGTCTGCACTCAAGATGGATTGACTTTTGCGCTTCTTAGAAACAAAAGGAAGAAAATACTTAATGGCTAACTGTGAGCCGAAACTCCCCACCCTTCAGCGTTTGTAATCCAGGTGGGGGTTCAAGCTCCCATAATCCAACTTCTGTGATCTCAAGCCATGTGCTCAAAGTGTATTGAAGACAATGAAATTATAAATACTCGCTTTTCCACAGACAAATTGTCCAGAACTGACACTAACAACTTGCTGTTTGCTATTTTCACAAGAGTAGCAGACAAGCTCATCGTAACATAAAGATCTATCCTGTGATACCCCACTTTTGGTATTTTTGCGGAATTTAAAACATTTTTGGAAAACTGTACCACGGCAGCAGTGTAAATAGCCATCGGTGCACCAAATAGAGTGAAACTGGATGATCTCGTAGAATCTCGTAGAATCCAAGAGTTGGGCGCAACGTCTGGGACAGACGCCGCCCTAAACGACGGGCTCTGAAGGAGTACCCCTTCGACGCAAGGCGCATAATCCGCCTTCGGCACTAGGGGAATCCCGCAGAATCTAAGCAATTCTCAAACTCCTTGACTTGGTTAGGGTTTTTTTGGAAAGAGCTTGACGCGCTGGTTCTAACGAGCCCAAGAACGCCCGAAACGGATCAGGACTCAGAAAGTTCTGACGGTCGAAAGATACGAAGGCCTTCGCCTACGCATAGGCGAGGGAAGTTCGCCTGCGCATAGGCGAAATAGGGTTTGACGTCGGCGGGAAGTCCGCCTTCGGCCCTAGGAATCCGCCTTCGGGGTTGGAACTTGTACGGCGCCTTCGGCGCCAGCGCATCACGGTTGGGTGAGGACCCAACGGAGTAGCAAAATCCGTACGGACCGTACGGACTCTACGGAAGGAACGGACGAGTGCGCCTTCGGCCGGTCGGGGTTCCGGAGACAAGAGCGCCGACGGAGAGGCGAGAGAGATGGACGGAGTCCGTTGACCGCGGTCAACGCCTTCGGCACAGCCGCCTTCGGCGCTGCGCCTACGGCGAGGGACCTGCGCGGACGAACGTCCTGTGTGCGGACGGAATTCGCCTACGCATAGGCGAGCGCCTACGCACAGGCGGATGAAGTTCGACGCCGGCGGAAACTCCGCCGGGGATTCTGCCTACGCAGAAGGAAGTTCAACTTTTGTCCTATGCGCGGACGAACGCCTTCGGCAGAGCGGAACTAGCCAAGTTGAAGTACGGATGAGTGTAGCGCGTCGGCGAGAAATCCGCCTTCGGCGCTGCGCGACCATGGCCGCGGCGTGATACGCTGGCGGAGTTCAAATTACCAATTCGAGCGTGTGAGTGAAGTCGGCGTCGGCGGAGCGTGAAGCCGCGCGTGAGAGAGAAGGCCGTTATACCTCGGAGCCGGCGCGGCCATCAAGTGATTCGACTTTCACGACCGAGAGCCGACCATGACCTCCTGCGAGCGGACAAAGGACGCCCCATTCTTGAATTTGCGATTTCAATTTCTGGTGCGAGCTGCGCGCGTCCACCTTCTAGCTGAGAGACGTTCTAGACATCACCGCGCGGAGATTTACTCGGTAGCTGGGAGAGAATTGAGTGCGCGCCATTTGGAATTGAGAGAGATTAGAGTTTGCAGAGGAAACAGAATCGCGAGCAAGAGGCTCGGGCATAGCAAAGAGAGAGTTGCGCAAACCAATTCAAGAACGCAATGTCGATATCGGTGAGCCTGCGGATGGTGCCATTCAAGCTCCCGCAGAATGGGTTGCGTGCTTTTGAGGACCGGCTGATTGCAAGGAAACTCGAATTCCTGATGTGGGGATGGAATTACGTGTGCGCAGATATGGTGCGCGAATGGCCGGACGAGGAACGACAACCTACGCGCGGATTCCGTCCGCACGTAGATAGATGGACTGTCCGCGATTGGGGACATGCATTGGGGAGGTGCGCAGGTGATGACGGGTACCTCCTGTTCGACAGTGAAAGCGTCAAGGTAACGAAGGCGGACGAGGGCTCCTTCGTGGAGTTGTTCAAGCGGGAGTGGTTTTCCAAGAACGGGTACAGGACCCGCGACTACAAAGATCGTTTCCGCAGGACCGTAGCGATGGCGCTGCTGCAATTGTTGCAGCCGCACCGCACTACGTACATCACGTTGTGGCAGGTGTCCTTCGTAGAGCTCACGTTGGCTGGAGCTCCAGTTCACTGGTCGCGTATCCTGCATAGGGTGATGCGACAACATGCGTTTGAGGAGCGGGGAGGAACTCTCAATCACCTCTCCCCCTTCTTGATAAATTTTTATCGGTCGATGAATTGTTTAACCGCGGCCGAGCGTGCTCGATTTCCGCCATTGTCAGTCGACCATCCCGGGAGGTATGTGCGGGATAACGAGGTAGACACCGACACGGAGGATTCACCGACTTCCACTCCACCGGGTCAATAGGATGCGGGGAGAGACGCATCCGCAGCGCGAGTACCGCGGAAGCGAAGATGGAGAGAGGAACCGGAGAAAGAGCAACATCAAGAATCAGCTGCTCTCACCCGGAAGCGGCCACTACACGAGGTCTGCAGCCGGCCGAAGCAGAAGGCACGCAGGCTTTTGTTACCGGCCAGCAGCGCGGAAACGGCGACGATCGCCACAGAAAAGGGAAGTCCGTCCCTGGAGAAGGATGGGACTACGCGGACGGCCGAAGGGGCAGTAGACCACCCTACGCCTTCGGCGGAGGAGAGACGATTTTCGGGTCAGGAGTTACCACGTGCGGCGCGGATGAGTGTGCCGCCTACGCATAGGCGACTCCCTGTGGATAGGCGACCTCTTGCGGACGTGGATTTGTGCCTACGCATAGGCAGAGAAAGTTCGCCTACGCATAGGCAGGACTCACCCCCGGTGCAACGCAGGAAGAAGAAGTAGCCGGCGGAAGATCCGCCTTCGGCTCAAGGGCCTTCGGGACAAGGCACTCCGGCGGAAAGATCGCCGGGATATGCGCCTTCGGCGCCAGGGCCTTCGAGCCAGCAAGTTACGACCAGAGAGCCGGCGGAAGCCGCGCCTTCGGCGGGAAAACCGTCGGAAGATGCGCCTTCGGCGGAAGGGCCTTTGGGCCAAGGGACATCGGGCGGGCTGCCTTCGGCACTGCGCCCTTGGCGGAAGAAGCGCCGAGATTTGCGCCTACGCGTAGGACGGACGCATCCCTGGCGTAGGACCTAAGGGTGGAGCAGGACCAATCGGTGAAGCGGATTGAATGTCCGCAGGGTGAAATTCGTGCGTGCGATGCACAATTTCACTCCGCGCAGGTACATTCCGCACGATTGACTTCGGCGGAAGACGCCAACGGCGAAGAAGTTACAGTCGCGGCACGACAGGCGGACGATGGGGATGTGGCACGGCCGCATTCACCCACCGCCTTGGACATTTTAGCAGGGAGCAGCGAGGCTGTAGGAGCGCCAGCGGCGGCAGAACACGCAGACATCTCGCAGCCCCACCCAGGCCAGTCGCCGACGCATTCAATGGCGACCGAAATCCTCAATTTGGAGGATGACGAAGAAGGAGGATCCACGGAATCAGTGTCGGGATCGGGATCCACCGAGGAGGAGGAGGAGGAGGAATTGGTAGGTGCGCTGGCGGCGGCGCTCTGTGAGCAGGTAGTACCTTTGCTAAGGTACTTGGATCGCAAGATGGACAAGTACGCGGACCCTCGCCAGCCTGGGTCCTACGTTGAGTTAGTGCGCAGGCGAACTCGCACTAAAATCCACACCAGCAAGTTGCTAGCCCGTGTGGACCAGGAACTTAAGGCTCTACGGGAGAAGCATGAATGCTTGTGGAGTCAGTACACCCTCAATAAGAAGGTGTACAAACACTTCGACAGGGTCAAGGATGAGAGGCTAGAAGAGTTCGCCAAGGAGAAGGTGAAGCTTACAAAGGCGCTGGATTCTGAGCAGGCTAAGAATCGAATTTGGTCAGAAGAGCTCGTGCGACAGACGCGGTTGTTAGAGCAGTGTCAGCTCGCACGGCAAGCGGATGAAGAATTAATTGGCAAACTGCAATCCGAGTGCAGAGAATTGAGAGCACAGCGTGCGGAGGCCGAATTGCAGTTGGTTGTGGTTGAAGACGATCGCCGACGGGAGGCAGATCGCACGAAGAAAGAGATGGCGAGGCGAGTCACCCATTGTCTCAGGGGCTACGCCCACTGGGAAGTGGCAGCGCAGGAGAAAGTCACACTGCGTGATTTAGAGCTTCATGCAGCCGGGTTGTTGACAGGTGACAGTCGGAGTCGGCGGCGAGTAGCGAAGAAGCTGGATTCTTTTCTGTCGAAGTCGTGTAGTAACACGTTTTTTGTTTTTTTTGCAGAATTTAAACAATTTTAGAAAACAAGTACTGAAGCAGTGTCTGTAGTTAGAAAAGGGTACGTTAAATAGAGTGGATTGAGGAGATCGTCACGAGGTCACGAAGAATCGCGAAGTCGGATGTACCAGCGCCAAATGTCTTTGGCGCCTTCGGCAAAAGCTCCTTTTCTAAGGTGTCTCTACTCACGCGCTCCCAGCGTTTAAGGAAGCTACGCTGCCGGCGCAGACACCTCCGGAGGAGATTTTGCTAAAGACGTCAGAAGAACGGCACGGACCTCTGAAGGCTTCCGACCATGAGTGCGCCTTCGGCGATGCGCCGCTAGCGCGGAAAAGGAAACCTTCATAACAATCGGAATACACGGTAGTTCCAATTGATTGAAGTTGCATTGGAAAGAGCTCGAAACGCTCGTCCTAACGAGCCCAAGAGCGTCGGAGATGGATCAGGGACGAAGAAGTTATGAGCATTGAAAAACTCGTAGCCGGACATGCGCCGTTCGCGCTAGGGTTCACAGTCGGAAAGGACTCCCGTACGCCTTCGGCGATGCGCCTGAATCGCGCGCTCATGGGAAGAAAT